CACTTGTCCACAACTTCTCTGTCTTTCTCAAGATCAGTAACAATGGGAACTTTTATAGTGAACCATTATCAGAAACTTCTAATTTGTATCAGTGGGTCGATTAAAATGACACCGTGTGAAAGAGGTGAAATGGGAAGTGCAGTGTGGCAACTTTTAGCCCTAGAATGAGGGAGAAGAGTAAAATAAAAAGGCTTTCTCATAAAATATGCTTTTTTAATGAACAAGAATAGCTGAGAGAGAAATAGTGGGAGATTATCAAGATTTTAGACAGTCTCAAAAGACAAACCTCATAAATGTTTTCTAAATTTACATCTCCACCTAATGTCCACTTTCTATTATACCATCCCTGTATTTATCTCCTCCTACCCTAGGTGAAGCCTATCAGAAAGAACCACCTTCTCCATGCATCAACTGCCTCAATGGTCCCAAGGCCTATGATTCCCACTGCTATGCTTCATTTAGAACATCAAAATCTTAGTTTGCTGCAGATTTTGAGGGCTGACAATTGTGTCTATGGAGGTGGGGGACAACTGTGGAAAGTATTTGTCAATCACAGGGGGAATGCTTCTTTAGTTTCTGTGCTTAATTAAATAAGCATGAACACCCCATTTTTTTTTCATGTAACCCTCTCCCTTTACCTATGTCTACCCTGACATTTGCCAGGAGAGGTCACTTTTTTCTCATCCCATACCTTACAAGGTTGGCCTTCAGAAGAAGCCCCTGGATCATGTTTTGTTTCTGCTCAGTGAAGCTAAGACTTCCTCCCTGCCTTTCATGGTGAAGAATCATGTGACCAAGTACCAGCATATTTGAAGGGATTGCCATGATGCTATCTTTGCACAAGTCCATCCTTTCTATTTTTTCTGTGCCTCTCAAAGAACCCCAGAGGACAAAAAGCTTAAATGCTGGGTGACAACTTCAATAAGAAGTGCCCATGGTAAACTGGGTTGCTGAGATCTGTGATCATCTTCACATTTAGACAGAGCTCAGGAGCCTATTGTTTTCTTCTATACAATTCTCATGTGAGGTTTAATTTCTACTTTAAGCTCTAGTGACTGCATGTAGGATTCCAGTGAACTCCATATGAAGATAAGATCTATAATTTCTCTTTAGGCATTAGATACTACCTTTCCAGATGCAAAGGAAACCATATATACAGACTAAATTTTATTTAGACTGAAACATAAATTTCAATGGCTTAAAGTACTTATATCAACTTTTCTGGGATTTGCCAATTGAAGTGAGTAATTCAGAGAGAATAGTTTATTAACTGGCTCTTAGTAGTATGTGGATGAGCAGACTAAGTTCTGTGAAGGTGGAGAGATAACCCAGTTTTCCAGCTAGAGGCACCATGAACATAGAGCCTAATGGTCATTCTCTTCTGATGGCTCCCTCCTCTACATGGCCAAGAATCAGTGGATGTGGATGGGAAGGGAGTAATACTGATATACTGAGCTACACCAACCAGGAAAGGAATCCTTCCATTGCCTCAGACCACGGTTATTGCAGGAGCCTGTCAAAAGGCACAGGTGAGAAACAGAAACCATCTGTGAGTTGTGTTTTCCATTTCTCCCACCCCATTTCTAGGTCTTGGCATTGGGAATTCCCCAAAACTATGAAATTTCTTGTTGGTTCTCTTGTCTCATCTCCTTTCTTTCTCATCTGCTCATCTCCTTTTTTCTATCTGCTTGTTCTGTACTAGGACCTTGACCAGAGTCAGAAATGTGGCTTTACTGGGTTCACAAGATTCACCCCCCATGTAATTTATGTCCTCTCTCTCTAGAATTTTTGAAGTAGAAAGATTACAGGTGTAAGGTACTGAAAGTACAAGGAGTAGGAAATGGAGCCAGCAACCGATTTTTTTCAGTAATCTTGTCATAAAGAAAGGGGCAAGAGTGAAGATTCACAGATCTGACTCCCATGCTGCATTCTTACACCCTCTTTCTCTCCATTCTTTGTTGCTTCTCTGTGTGTGGTGGATTGAGTTTTCAGAGAACAACAATAAACACTTTCATTCATACTCTGTGCTTTTGTGTTGTATTTTTATAGTAAGGCTCTTTAGAGGAGGCTAACTGAACTGAAAAGTACTCCTCAGTTCCACCCAGGCCTGGGGGGAAATGTGTAATGATACATGCTTAACTTTTTACTGTGTGGAGTGTGGAGCCAGCTCATGGAGGCTATGTCCTGAGAAGTTGAAGTCATTGCCCATTCTATGAAGTCATTTTCTTCTTCCATTTCGAATCTACCTTGGAAGGAGATATTTGTAAAATGTGACTCAGACATATAGGTAGTGCTGATATAAGAAGTCTTAGATATTATTATATCCTTAGTCCAAGGAAAAATATCTGAAGATCCTTTAAACCAATAGATTTTCTTTAGGCTAATTAGAGAATTGAAGTAACCAAGAAAATGTTGTTTGTTATTTGCAGAATCACCAAAGCATTTTAGTTTCTGCTTACATTGCTCAATCTTCAGTGTTATAATCCATTAGGAAAGGCAATTTTAGAAATTCCCAAATTTATAATGTAGATCATCAGTAACAGTGAGATGCTTATAATCTATACTTCTTGCTGCCAAGAAGTACTGTCATGGAATTTTCTGCTTCCTTACAATGACCTATGAGGTTCTGGTGATGAAGAGCCAAGCACAATTCCCTCCTTCCTCTATCAGTAGGGAAAAAGTAACTAGTACCTCTTTTCATAAAGGATGTATTAGAAAAAATATACTATGTTCAAAAAAATTGTATAGTGTATACAGAGATGTGCAAGCTCTAGGAAAGGATCAAACATCATTTCTATAAAAAACACAAGAAGAAAAAAGAAAAAAACAGCTGTTTTACAAGTCAACTACATGTCTTCTATAAGAAGTCAGTGAACTTATGGATTTAACATCATCTTGAAAACAGAAAAAGATAATGTGATGAAAACCTGAAGCAGCATACGCAAAGACCATCAGAAAAAAATAAAACTTATACACAGTAGGAATATTAGTCATAGAGGAGAAAGAGAAAGGGGTAGGAGATATATCAGAAGAAATATGATTTTACATGCCCCCACATCAATGACAGAGTGCATCTTGCTAGATCCAGTAATACCAGAGAAAACCCAAGTAGGATTAGTAACACAAGCTTGACTTAGATGCATAATATTCAGTTTGCAGATTACCAAGAGCAGACAGAAAAATCCTGAAAGTAGTCAGCCATTTGAGTAATAGCTTACATATAAAAGAAGTATAATAATCAAACAAGACTTTCAGGAAGAAAATTGAGTGGAATGAACTAGCAAATGTGCTGGCAGAAGAGACAGATACAAAATGGAATTTTTATTGACTGAAATGTTATTTTCAAAGGATAAATAAAGACTTTATGGGGCAAAGCTTGTCTGAATTGATTTCCATCAGAGGTGTCCCACCAGAAACGTTAACACTGTCCAGGGTAAAGAGGAGTGGCAGAGGTCCAGGTACACAGCTGTTTCAAGAAAAGTTTTGAAAACTTATGGAGAAGATACAGTTATTTTCCTTCTTTCAACCAATATTAACTATAATATTTTTAAAGGAATGGCATGACAGGCTTTTGGGTGATTATAGCACAAGAATAAGTAAAATAAAGGATGGAAATGCTCTAAGGGATGAAAAAGAGAAGTGTGCACCACCTATCTCACAATTAACGTTTCCTCTTTGGTTTATTGAAACAAGGAGTCAACACTGGTCTACAGATGCTATTCATCTGTTAGGACTGCTATATCAAAGAATCAAGGTGCTGTATACAAAACAATGAGTTACATGTTTGTTAGAATTGTTATTTTTTTCTAGAAAGCAATCATTGTAGTTCAGTATGCATATTTTCCATTTAGTCATAAAGACTATTAAAACATTTGCACACAGGGGTTAACATTTACTTCAATGAACTATTTCTGTCTCTGTTTAATCTAATTAAGGAGTACTTCAAGGTGATGATATCTTTGTGTGTGTGTGTGTGTGTGTGTGTGTGTGTGTGTGTGTGTGTGTGTGAATGTGCTACTGTGGATGGAAACCAAGGCATTGCAAATGGTAGGCAAATATTATACCACCAACTTACACTTAAAGGCCTATTTTTATTTTCTGCTTTGAGATAGGTTCTTTAATAAGATGCCCATATTGGCCTTGAACTTATCTTTTAGCCCAGACAGCTCTTAAACTTTCAATCCTTCTGCCTCGGCCTCTTGAGTATCTTGGATTGAAGGACTTGCCTGTCAATGGCTATTTGTTACTTAAATATATATAAGTGTGAAGGACACAGGCTGATGACCCTGCCTTAATCAAAACTAAACCACTAGATCATTTCTTTGGAACCATGAGTATAGATGTCACAGAGTGAGAACTGTCAATAAACACTGAGTATGAAGTGAAGAGTAGACTTATACAGTTACTGTGAAAGGGTCTACATGATCCCAGTGAATGTGAGATCCCACTCTGTGGATGGTTCCCCAAGGCAACAAATTGCCAGACTAGAGTACAATGAACAGAAATTTATTTGTAACCTTAGAAAAGTACATGCCAGGTAAATATGTTCAGCTGGTTTTTCTTAAGTTTCTAACAAGAATGTTGACTTATTGAAAGCTGACTTTACATACTAATATGAAGCTGTATCAGCATATCTAAATCATTATTTCACCTTTTAGCATTAATTTATCCTTTGTTGTCAATTAATTTATAACTAAAATTCCTTATATACTCAGTTCTTACTAAGCCATTTTAAGTATTCCAGACAAATATAAAGAAATGTCAATACAAGTGAGGCTTTCTAGATTGATTCTATTTACACTTTTACATTTATTTTCCTTAACTCTCACTTTTATTTCCCTTAACTCATCAGGTAATAATATTTAAAAACTATGACAGAGCATAATTTGTACCCCAATGCTGCTGCTGTTCACTTGTGTTTCTTGGAATGGACTATCTAGAAGAGGGTGTGGAAGGTTAAACTTCACTCACACCTGAGTAAAGCAGGACTGCTAACAGGAAGGAGGTAATATTTGTGAATTTTTTCCATCTTTTCCAGGAAGAGACTCCTGCTCTTTCTGGGAACTTCCTTTAGTCCATGCCAAGCACTACCCACCATCCTAACCTGCATCAGCATTCCAGTTATTCTCTTGGATGTCCCTCCCTCAAATCCTGTTATAAAAGCAGAGTCATCTCTGCCCTGACAAACCACTCCAGATTTCTGCAAGAAGGGTAAGTGGGAGCTGAAAGATGATGAGAGCCTTGCAGGGGTTCACCCCTCACTAGAAGAAGGTGTTCCAGAGTTCTTGCTCTCGCATAATGCAGAGCTTTGTGACTCAATCAAGGCTACCTATGGAGCTTTCAGAGAAAGAAGGAAACATGGATTTCTGGACCACAGGGGGAAGATAGGATAGTCAGTATATCCTTACAGAACTAGTAAAAGAAGGAAAGCATGGTTCTTTCTACATGTCCTCTCTAACCACATTACCTGGAGTGACTCTGATTGTTCTTCCCTCACAGACAAGATGTTGTCTCGCAGAGCCCTTGCCAGCCTGTCCTGGATGCTGCTCTCCTGCCTGATGCTCTTATCTCAGGTGCAAGGTAAGACTTCTCTGCCTCTAGCACCAAGTTCCTGTGAGTGTTGAGAGTCAGGGAGCAGATGAAAGTCTCATGAAGAATTATGAGAAATATCCATATAGGAAACCTGCTGCAACAGCTCCACCATCTTGCATTCCTCCAGATCATTGGCTGTGGAAAGTCTCATGGTGGTCTGTCACCAGTAAAGGACAAGATTTATCATTTTGTTAGGATGCTATAATTTATGTTGGTAGGATGATAGGGGAAAAATGATGATTAACAATGAACTCTATGGAAGACTGTAGATGGACAACTGAAGTTAAGTCTATCAGCCCAGAGTTGGTAGAGTCATGAACTAATATATAGAAAGGAAGAGAAAAATGAGGCTGCACCATTGACTTCATCTGTTGATTACAAAAAAAAAAAGTTTCAAAGACAAGAAGGCTTAGTATTGATTTCCTTCCAAGAAATAGTCTACTAAAAATAGCCCCTATTTTGACCGACCCATCTAAATCCCACTTTTCATTGCTTGATTTATCTTACTCCACTCCAGGTGAAGACTCCCCGAAAGAAGTACCCTCACCACGCATTAGCTGTCCCGCGGGCTCCCGGGCTTATGGTCCTTACTGTTATGCCTTGTTTCGGATACCACAGACATGGTTCGATGCAGAAGTGAGTCTTGGGAGGTAGAAAGTACAAGTGGATCATGGGGGAATGTTGGATTCCATTATCTCTAATTCATTGTGCCTGATATGAATACCTGATTTCCAATATAGCCTGTGCCCTTACCTACCTCTGCCTTGCCATTATCCAGTGACATTTAAATCTCCTTTTTATTCTGCTGCTCCCACAGTTGGCCTGCCAGAAGAGGCCCTCAGGACACCTCGTGTCTGTGCTCAGTGGATCCGAGGCTTCATTCCTGTCTTCCCTGGTGAAGAGTACCGGGAACAGCTACCAATACATCTGGATTGGGCTCCACGATCCCACCCTGGTATGATTCCCTTTTGTTTGTGTCCTCTCATATGCTATTATCACATAGGCACACTTGCTCAGCCTTCCCAGAAAGAAGCCTAAAAGACACAGAGGTCAGACAGTGGGTAACACTGGGACAAGGGAAACCGTCAGGGTCAGTTGTAGAGCTGAGCTCTATGAGGATTCCTAGACTTCAGATGAAGGTCATGTGCCTGTTACTGACTTTTACAAAGGTCTCACATGAGACATTGGAAGAATTCTCCCTCAGTTTCAGGGAGCCTGCACTCAGTGTTGTCAAGAAATACAGAATAAAGAGACAATCTACATTTTCTCTTTATAGAATAAACATCCTACTTCCATTTCAGAAGACATTGCTAGTTTACCACTATTTATATTTCAAAGAAATTTTAGTGAGTCCTAATTTTTCAGTAGTTTCTGAGTTTATAAATAGAAGCAAAGACAATAATAATTTCTATTGCTATGTTATGGAAAATTGTGTATGATCTACTGAGTTCTTGGAGGATGGGAGGGAATCCAATGTTTCATTGAGGTTTCACACATGCAGAGCTTTCAGGACTCTACCTTTTATCTGGTTACTGCCTCATCAGGGTGAACAACCCAATGGAGATGGATGGGAGTGGAGTAACAGTGATGTGATGAATTACTTTAACTGGGAGAGGAATCCATTCACTGCCTTAGACCGTGGCTTCTGTGGCAGCTTGTCAAGAGCTTCAGGTAAGAAGGAGACAGCTACCTTGCCTAGAGGTGTACCCATCTTCTCACATTCCTGGATACCTCTGAGTTAGGAAATGGAATGTGATCTTGTTCTCTCTCATCTTCTTTATTGGTTTCTTGGATATCTCCTTTTTCTGGGTTATACCACTAGTGAGCATGAGGAAGTGACTTCTAAGTTGAAGCCACAGATTTAGGCATTTTTTTTTCATTACATTCTCAAGATCCACAGTGCTCAATACTTAACCCTCTTTCTCTTTCCAGGATTTCTGAAATGGAGAGATAATATCTGTGATATGAAGTTGCCCTATGTCTGCAAATTCAGTGGTTAGCCTTACCCAAAACAAATAACCAAAATTTGTCCTGGAGCTCATCATGGACAAGAGACTAAATATGAAGACTCACTCAGGAAGAACATGTTTTATCCACGGTCCACATCAGATCCCTCATCTGCTCTTTCCAGATCTTGCCTTAGTCATTTCTGTATATGTTGTGGCCTGAAGTCTCAGAGAGCAATAATAAAACTTTAGTCACACTTTGAGTGTTTGTGGTCCATTAAAAATTTTAATTATCATCAATTTCTATGTTATGTATACATGTGAGTATGGGTGTGTGAATACCACAGTGTGCCCATGGAAATCAGAGGGTAACTTTTGGGAATCATTTCTTGCCTTCTCTCTGTTGAGACAGAGTCTCTTTTATTTTTGCCACACAGCCAACTTACAAGGGTCAGAGGAATTGTCCTAATTCCTCTGATTCCCATCTCTTCATAGGAATCCTGAATTTACAGATGGGAGCCTCTGCATCCAGTTATGTTTAATAATTTCCCTGAATATGAAGGCAAACCAACTCAGGTCATCAAGATTGAGAAACAAAACTTTAACCCACCAAGCCATCTTTCTGGCCCTGCACACCATTTTTTAATTGAAAAAATTTTGCATACAATATATTATGATCACACTTATCCCCTCCCCCAACTCTTTCCAGATTATCCCCACCTTCCTACCCACCCAACTCCGTGATCTTTTCCCTCTATCACTTTAAAAAACAACCAAACAAATAGCTAAATAAACAAAAAACAAGAAACATACACAAACTCTGCAAAGACATGAAAATGGAAACCAAAATATTCAAGTGACAAATAAGACAAAGGTTGTCAGGATGGCAGAGGAGACATCTGACAATTGCTACTCAGTTCCATCCATACAGACAGTGCCTAAGAGTGCATGCTTACCACTGCATTGTAACTAAGAATGTAGGCCATCCTCATTGAGGATTATACTGCGACTTCCTCCCAGTCAGTGCTCCAGTTGGGGCCTGATGGCTGATGATTTCAATACTTCAAGAATCATACTTGAAGTCTAACATTAAAAAATGCAATCTGTATGAATGGTAATTTTTACTGAATATAGTAAAATAAAATGGATTTACCAGAATAGTGCAGGCATAAAGACTCTAGAACCTTCTTGATCTCTTTCCAACAAGACAAAAAGAAAATTTGAAAGTACTTTAACAAATTTTTTGGGACTAACGAGAGAATGTAATCATCAGGGAAGATCCCTTTTCTGGTGTTTACAGAAGAGCCACGGGCATAGCTTCTTCCTCCCTCTACACCTATAAGACATTGGGAGAAAGGCTTAAGGCTAAGTGTGGGTCCTTGGTGAGGGGAGGACACTCTTGCAGTCTCTATTTCCAGGGAGACTCCAGCATTCCCATGGGAATTTTTTCTCACAGCATTCATCAAGTTCTCATGGTAAAAGACAAGAATAATCTCTTCAAGACCTGTCTGAAGGAGGAGAAAAATGACACCTTAAAGTCAGCCTTAAAACACTTAATTCTTACCACAGCTTAGGCAAAGTATTTATCCAACTTCTCCATCTTTTATACTACCTATTTTTTCTAGAGTAGAAAAAGCTAAGAAACCCCTTGTAAGTCTTGACCTGGGATGTGGGACCACACAAACCCTGATATTAATATTTTATTTATTTATTTTTTGTGTGTGAGTGTGCATGTACACATGTATCAGTGATAACCCCTGTGTTTTTAAGGTGCCAAGGTAGTGTTAGTACTCAGGATCTGTCTACTTGGTTTTATAATATGGGGTATCTCAAGTGGCCTGAAATTCCTCAGTTCATCCCCAGTGGTTGAGATCTATCATTCTTTGCTTCCCCAGTTCTGAGATTACAGACATAGACACCACACCCAACTTTTAAAAAACTGTCACTTGAAGACAGATCCAGGACACAACAGTAGTGAGTAACTGGTAGAGCTATGAGGTACCTTCTATTAAAAGAACATCTGAGGAGTTCCAACAGGTATGGGAAACACAGGCAGAACAAAGATCACAGTAGAAAATCATTACGTGTAGAGCTCTGCATTGTGGGACAATTGCTCCAGTACACAGTAAAGATGAGACTCATTCAGACCACCTCCAGTCAAAGGTCACTAGCACTAGTCCCCTGGTAGCTACTAGGTAAGAACAGTGTGGAAGCAGAGAGCACCCAGTGTTTACTCTGTTAATGACACACACAGCTTTTGAAGCACAGGGAAAAACTTTGCTAGAGTAGTCATTCTGACTCACTCAACTCAAGCACTATGACTTAAAGGAAATTTTTATTTTTATTGATTTGTTTGATGTTTTTTCTTTTATTTATTTTATTTTACAATACTATTCAGTTCTACATAACAGCCACAGATTCC